GGGCTTACGCCAACAGATGGCCATCTACGATGACACCGTGGGGCTCGACAGCTTTCTCCAAAAGGCGGTTCGCATCTCCCAGCACCTAACCGCGTGCCATACAGAATCGCTACCCGCTGCCGCTGCCTCACCCAGCCTCTCCGCTCCAGCACCAGAACCCATGATCACGGATAGCTACCACCTCTCGTCCACGGAACGATCTCGGAGACTCACCCGTGGCCTATGTCTCTATTGTGGATCCCCGGAGCACCAGCTCCGCACCTGTCCCATTCGTCCATCACGCCCAGCGGTGAGTACTATCCAGATCACTCCTGATGTGTCTTGCATGCCTCATATAAATGCTCTTCTAATTTATCACACCCAATCCTTTCCAGTCAAAATCCTCGTGGACTCCGGAGCTTCGGGGAATTTCATCTCCTCCCGTAGTCTCGCCGGGTTCCAAATTCCCCGCTGCAAAAATGCCACGACCTACCAGATCACCACTGTCCAAGGAAAGCCGCTGGGCAAGGGGCTGGTGCGGCACCGCACGCCCGAAGTCGCCCTACGGATTGGATGTTTCCACACCGAACGGATCTCTCTACTGGTGCTGGAGGAGGCCGTCGTGGACATCGTCCTGGGACGCCCCTGGCTCGCCAAACATCAACCCACCATCGCCTGGAAGTCCGGAGAAATACTCAAGTGGAGTGTGGAGTGTAAACAGGAGTGTCTCCGGGATCTGCCTATCCCGATCTCCGTCAGGAACGACCTCCCTGTCTGTTCCACCTCGGTGGAAAGCCGAGATTCATCGCATGTCACTCCTCCTCCCAAATATCAGGTGTTCCAGGACGTGTTCAGCAAGGTCGCTGCCACCCACCTTCCACCTCACCGGCCATGAGACTGTGCCATTGACCTGCTGCCTGGGGCCCAATTACCCAAAGGACACGTCTATCCACTGTCGATCCCGGAGAGAGCCGCTATGGAGGAGTACGTTCAGGAAGCCTTGCAACAGGGGTTCATCCGTCCGTCCACCTCATCCGCAGCGTCGAGCTTCTTCTTCGTGGCCAAGAAAGATGGAGGTCTGAGGCCTTGCATCGATTACCGGGCCCTCAATGACCAGACGGTGAAGTTTGCCTATCCCCTTCCTCTGGTCCCTGCCGCCTTGAAGGAGCTCCGCGGGGCCCTCGTCTTCAGCAAGCTGGACCTAAGGAGTGCCTATAATCTCATCCGCATTCGCAGGGGTGACGAATGGAAAACTGCCTTTGTGACGCCCACCGGGCACTATGAGTACCGGGTCAAGCCCTATGGGCTTTCCAACTCACCCTCCATATTCCAAAACTTTATGAATGAGATCTTCAGATACAAGCTCAACCTGTTCGTCCTCATCTACATAGAATATATCCTCATTTCCTCACCCAATCTCGCAGCACACTGTAGCTATGTCACCCAGGTACTCCAACGCCTCCGCCAACACCACCTGTATCTAAAGGCGGAGAAATGTGAGTTTCACCAATCCACCGTTCACTTCCTGGGCTACATCGTCACCCCTGCAGGGGTGCAAATGGATCAGAGGAAGGTGGATGCCGTTCGGAACTGGCCCCAACCGACTACTATCAATGAGCTGCAGAGATGCTTGGAATTCGCAAATTTCTATCGCCGCTTTATCGCCCACTTCAGCCAGTTGGCGGCACCACTTACCTCTCTCCTCCGACGGAAGGCCAAACTCCTCACCTGGACCCCGGAGGCACACCAGGCCTTCAGTCAGCTCAAACCCGAGGCAGGCCCGCTGGGCTCTGTTCTTTACCCGCTTCCACTTTGTGGTCACGTACCGTCCAGGGACAAGGAATGTCCGAGCGGACGCACTTTCCCGCCAACACCAGCCAGATCCTACCCCCGAAGAACCAGAGCCCATCCTGCCACCTTCCGTCTTCATGTCTCCGATTCAATGGGCCCTCACCGACCAGATCCGTGCCGCCACTCTCACCGAACCCGCTCCGCCGGGAGGTCCAGAGGGGAAGAGCTATGTCCCATCCACCCTGCGTATAACCCTTCTGGACTCCGTTCACACCTCTCCGGGATCGGGACACCCAGGCAGCCGCCGAACCCTCTCGCTCCTCCAGAACCGCTACTGGTGGCCCCACATGGCCCGAGATGTCGCCCGGTATATCAAGGGATGTTCGGTCTGTGCCATCTCCACCACGCCACGTCGTCTGCCCGAAGGGAAACTGGTCCCGCTACCCATCCCTCGCCGGCCCTGGTCCCACCTGGGTGTGGACTTTGCCACTGACTTACCTCCCTCGAACGGATTCACGACCATCCTAGTAGTCGTCGACCGGTTCTCCAAATCCTGCAAATTAATTCTCCTGCGTGGATTACCTACCGCCCTGGAAACCGCCGAAGCCCTCTTTCAGCACGTATTCCGGAACTTCGGTCTCCCCGAAGACATCGTTTCGGACAGAGGCCCTCAGTTCATCTCCAGGGTCTGGCGAGGGTTTTTCCGCCTCCTGGGAGCATCCGTCAGTTTGTCCTCGGGATACCACCCGCAGACCAACGGCCAGACCGAACGGAAGATCCAAGAGATCGGACGGTATCTCCGGGCCTACTGTCATGACCATCAGGACAGCTGGAGCCAGTACCTACCCTGGGCCGAATACGCCCAGAATTCCCTGCGCCAGGAAACCACCGGACTCACCCCGTTTCAATCACTCGGAAGTCCCAGCGGTAGATCACTGGTTCTGTGAGAGGGTATGGGACTCAGCGCATATCCATCTCCAGCGGGCCATCCGGAGGCACAAGGCCAATGCAGACACTCGTCGGTCCGACAATCCCATCTATCAACCAGGGGACCAAGTCTGGTTATCCACCCGGGACATCCGCCTCCGGCGGCCCAGCAGGAAGCTGAGTCCCCGGTACATAGGTCCTTTCCCCGTAGCAAGGCGCATCAACGAAGTCACGTACCAGTTACACCTGCCTGCCCATTACCGGATCTCACCCACCTTTCATGTGTCCTTGCTGAAACCCTTCACTAATCCTCTTCTCCCTCCCTCCACAGAACACGAGGTACCCCCCCTCCGCCCGAGGTCGTCTCCAACGAGACCATCTACAGAGTCAAGGAGATCCGCGAATCCCGGCGGCGAGGCGGCCGGATTCAATACCTCATAGACTGGGAGGGGTACGGTCCTGAGGAGAGATCATGGGCAGACAGAGAGGACATACTGGACCCATCCCTCCTCAATGACTTCCACCAGGCTCATCCTGACCGTCCCGCTCCCAGGGGCTGCGGTCGTCCTCGCCGTCGGGGGGGGGATAATGTCACGGAAACACCTGCC